AGGCCAATTTCCTCTCAACCTGAGGAAGAGCTTTCTAATAGTCATTGCTGCCCCAAGACCAAATGGGCTACCTTGGGTGGCAGTGAGCACCCCATCTCTGCAGGGTACGGGCTGGGTGAGTCCTTAGCCCAGCCGTAGTCCAGGAAGGCCTCAAGAAGCTTGTTGGGCTTGATGACATTGAGGTCTCTTCCAACATGAGACAGGACATGTCTGGGGCTTGCTTGGGGTCACTCAGCTGGTGAGTGGCCTCCTGGCTTGGATCGCCTGGACGGGGTGGGTACCATAGGCCTGGAGTGCATGCCCTGCCTCTTGCAGTTTTCTGGCTCCCCCAGGGCTCATCCCATTCAGCACCAGCTCTGTGCCCAGCCCTGCTGGCAGTGCAGAGCCAGGCCAAGCCTTGGCCTGCCCCCAAGAGCCCTCAGTAAGGAACTGTGGGGTAGGGGAGACAAGCACAGCAAGGACCTCACAAAGCCCCGAAAGGCCTGGGGACCGGATCCATCGCTGGCAGCCCTGACAGGACTGCTTTTTTGCCTGGCTGGGCAACCCTGTCTGGGTCTGCTCTGAGTAGAGAGAAAGCCTGGGTGACAGAGGTAAAGCAGGACCCAGTAGGGATTGTTCTTATCACCCAGGGTCTGATAAGGGCTTGGTGGGAGGGGGTGGGAGGGGACTGAGCCCTGGAGGAGCTGGCTGTGGTGGCATCAGCAGGCACTCTCGCTCCCTCCACCCCCACAGCTGCTTACTGCACAGTATTGATCTGGAGGCTCCTTCTCAGACGAACCCTCTCGACAGTGCACAGGGAGGGCTGATGTGGCCCAGTGCCCAGACCCAGCTGGAGATGTCGGGTGTGGGGAGGATTAGACGCCCTCCCCCAGTGTTGTGCTAGGCACTGTTCCTGAGAAGGGCCAGAGCCCAGTGTCCCCAGCCTCAGGCCAAGAGGAGCTAGTGATACTATAGAAACAGCCTGGTCCAATAGCACTGCTTATGAGCCCCAGTTCTAGCCCAAATCAGCTGTGTGATCCTGGGTAGGCCACTCACCCTCTCTGAACCTCACTGTCTGTATAATGGGGATGGTAATGCATCCACCTTTCAGGGGTGGTTGTGAGCATTAAATGGGATGATGAGAAAGGATGGTCTGGCCCATGACAGGTTCTCAGGTGCTGCATTTATGGCCTCTACTGGAGGCCAGGGGCCAGGAATTCTCCTTCTGGTGGCCCCACATTTCCTTGCCTGGGGCCAACCACTCACCTGAATCATCAACAAAAACATGAGCTCAAGAAAGAAATGGCTGAGAGAATCAGAGTGGCTGGAGTCTCCTGCAGCAGCCCCCAACCCTGGGCTGTGGTGGGAGGGGGCCTCATGGCCCCTGAGCCCTCTTCAGAGCCCTCCTTCCCTCTTATTGGACAGTGGCCCTTGTGGAGGAAGAAAACAAGCCCTAGTTCAAATCCCGTGCCTACTCTGCCACTTACTGACCTCCCTGAGCCTCAGTTTCCCCACCTGAGAAACAAAGCTTTGCCTACTTGGCTCACCCCACCTGTGAGACCCTAGGTGTCAGGGAGGAAAAGGAGATACCTTGCATAAAGTACAGTTTTTATAGTCACCAGTAGGAGCAGCAGGGGCTTGAACACAGCCCCTTCCCCCACCTTGGGACCAGAAAATTGTGACCTTGGGAATTGTTCCCACTTTTTGCCCCATGGCAGCAGAGCACCTTAGCAAGCTGGGGCTTAGGGACACAAGCTGCCCCCTTCCCCTGGAGGCAGCAGCACCTGCCGTGCACTGTGCACCCCCAGCCCCCATGCTATCTTTCCCTCCAATGTGTCCACACCACCTGAGCTTGTCACACTTAGCATAGCAGTAGAGTAATGGGTAACTTCCTCCTGGACACTGGGGAAAGTAAAAAGCCCACAGCCCTATGGGTGGCATTGCCACCGCCTGGGCAGATTTACTGGCACTTGGTGTTCAGCCACGCTGAGCACGTGTTTGCCAGAGTCAGGCAGGCCCTGTCAGCTTTGCCTTGTCATGCAGAGGCTCGGCTAGTCTGTGCCAAGGCGCGTTTCTGTTTACCCCACCCCACTCTCTTCCCAAGGGATTCCGCTGGGCTCAAGCCTCTGGCTCTTCACCCCGGAGCATTTGTCACTAGGAGGCTGAGGGTTTGAGGCTTGGCTGATAGTGAGACGGAAGCCATTCTCCTCCCTGGGACTCAAAGGGTGCTTGTCTGTGTGAGGGAGTCAGTCCATGGCGTCCATGGGAGCTTACCAGCAGCCCCTGGCTCCTCTGCCCCATCCCCCTGCTGGGTCTCTGGAGCTCTTCACTGCATGCAAGCCAGCTCCCCTCCCCTTCCCAGGGCCCCAGCCTGCGCTTCCCCCACCTTCCCCTCCTGTCACTCTTCAGACACTGCTAATCAGCCCCTTGGTGGCCTGTGATTGCGCTCCCCGAGATATTTTTACCTTATGCAAATAGGTGATGTAGAGGTGCCCTCATCTGTCAGCAGCCGGCTCCCCACCCCTCCCTCCTCCTCCTCCCTCCAGCTGGATTCCTGCTGCCTTAGGGCTGGCACTGTGGCCTCACCTTCTGGATCTCTCTAAACATCTTCAGGAGAACTGTGCTGTGAAGAATGGTGGATTACCCCACCTACCTCCACAGGCGCTCCAGGAGAGGTTTCCCATGCTTGGGCAGAGGGCGAGGAGGGTCGGTGGAGGGGCTGTGGGGTGCCCCTGCCTCCCCCAGTTGCCCTACACTCAGGCCCTGCTGGAGCCTGGCCCTTCTCTAGTTCTGTGAAGCCTGGACCCTTTGGCCCGGTTGGTTGAGGCAAAAGGCTTCCTGCCCCAGGGCTGCCCAGACAGGCCCCTGGTCTGTGTCATTATACATTTACCGAGCACCCTCTGCTGCCAAGCACAGTGCCAAGCTCCGGTGCACTTCCTATCTAATCCTCGTGGAAACCTGCGAGATGAGGCAGGTCCTGAGGCAGGTCCTGATGCAGCCCCCCCTTTTGCTGATGGGCGACTGAGGCACAAGGAGGCCTGGCATCACACCTTGGAAATGGCAAGGCCAGGATGGGCCCCAGCTGTCTGTCACAGGGGCTGATGGGTGTCTCTCAGCTCTGTGTCTCCACCTCACTGCTCTGTAGCTGTTTCCCAGGATCCTGAGAGGCCTCAGGGCTGTGGGCTGTGGCTGGGCATCCAGTCTGCAACTCAGAGGCTGTTCCGTCTATCAGCAGCCTGGGTACTGCCAAGCTGGGCTGTGTGGGCAGCCCATCCACACCAGGGGCCTGTCTGGCTGCCAGGGCGGGGCTGGCAGGTGGCACTGAGTTGGATGTGATGGTGGTGGCAGCCACATTTGTGGGGGTAGTCCTGGCCAGCTGACACGTGGCTGTCCAGAGCAGCCACCATGGCCGGCCACCTTTCCTGCCTCATGGGCCCTCAGTATGCAACCCTCACCTCCCAGAGCTGCTCAGAGAGCAGGACTTCAAGTGTCTGCTCTCTACAGAGACCCCCAGTGACCGAGGGTGGTCAAGGAAAGATAGGAAGGACGCACTCACATGCGGTCAAAGCCCACAGCAGTCCCTGGCCTCCGCTCATCACCTCCCACAGTGATGACCGTGCTTTTGTGGCCTTGAGGACCTGTGGTGGGCAGAGCAGGTCCCCCTTCTTCCTATAACTTAGGTTGGCTCTGCCCTCCAGCTGTGATTGCAATAGTCTTGTCTGCTCACAGACTTGCGCAGTGGGTGTTCCTTGCTCTGTGGGTGTGTCGGCTCTGCCAGGGAGATCAGAAGCCCCTGGAGGTCAGGACACCTCAGCCGTGGTTCCCCATGGTCCCCAGTAGGTACAGTACCTGGCACAGAGAGAGTGCTTAGAAACCTTTGGTAGGGTGGATGGATGGGTGGCTCGATGCACAGACAAGTGACGGATGAGACGACTTGCCCAGCAAACTCTGGAAGGGGACAGGCACACCATTGTGTACCAGACGCTTTTCCCGGGGCTGTTGCCCTCAAACCTCACCCCCCAGCAGCCCTGTTGTTCCCATTTTGCAAATGAGGAAACAAGCCCAGAGAGAATAGAGAATTTGTAGCAGAGCAGAGACTGGGCTTCAGGCTTCTGTCCCACCCTCTCGAGACTGGATGGGCTGCCTGATTCTGCCTTCTCTCCTTCCAGGAGGTTTAGGGTCTTTGTGGGAGCAGCACCAAGGGACTGGCATCCCTACTTGGTGAGGCCTCAAGAGATTCTGAACCCTTTAGGATCCCCAGCAGTCTGCTTGGAGTGGTAGGGGCCCACCTTGGAGGGGCCAACGCACCGATAAGGACGGCTACCATGGACTGTCCTCGTGGACACAGCTTCCACCCTAAGGGGGGAAGACAAACATCTAAGTGAAATACATAGTATGTCAGATGGTGATAAGTGCAGGAGTTGGGGGTGGGGGGTGTGCTGGGTATGGCCAGCGGGGCCTTTTTGAAATAGTGTCAGAGAACACCTCTCATGTAGGTGGTGTTGAAGCAGAGACCAGAAGAAAATGAGGATGTAAGCCATACCAGTGGGGGGAAAGCACGCCAGGCAGCAGGAACAGCATGCAAAGGCCCTGAGGCAAGAGCATGCCCAGATCGGGTGGAAGGTGGGAGTGAGGTCAGAGAGCCAAGGTGGGGTCAGGTAATGAGGGCCTTGTTGCTCCTGTAAGCGTTGGCTTTTCTTCTGAGATAGGAAGTCCTTGGAGGGGTCTAAGCAGAAGGTTGACCAGAGGTGACTTGGAAAGGTCTTTTGTTCTAGCTTTTGTGTCAGAATAGACTGTAGGAGAGGTGGAAGCAGGGAGAAGGGTACAGAGGCCCACATAGTCACCCCGGCAGGAGTGGATGGCCGCTCAGATGGGGCAATGCTGGTGGAAGTGGTGAGAAGTGGTCGGGTGCAGGCTGTGCATGTTTAGAGGTAGTGGTGCCAGCACCTGCTGACCGGGTTGTGGCTTCTTTGCAGAACTGGCTGCGGCTCTATGGCTACCTGCCCCCGCCCAGCCGCCACATGTCCACCATGCGCTCCGCCCAGATCCTGGCCTCAGCCCTTGCTGAGATGCAGCGCTTCTACGGGATCCCCGTCACTGGTGTGCTCGACGAAGAGACCAAGACGTGAGTCCTTCTGTCCGGCCCCTACCCAGACCCCTTGGGCACCTGCTCTTTTTCTGGCCTGCAGAGTTTCCAGAAAAGAGTGGCCCAGATAAGAGATGACAAATTGTTCCTCTGTGCCAATTCTGGTTGGTTGGAATGGCTGCCTGAAGCCTTGTGTTGAGAAATCTCCTGAGGCAGAATCCAGGCTTGGCAGCAAGGAGTGCAATGATTGATTAGTGCTGTCTGCCATGGGCACAGGAATGGGAGGTGTGGTGCACAAGCCTGGATGTGACATCCTAGCTAGACCTTGCTCTGAATCTAACAGACATGAAGCTGTGTCCTTGAGACGAATGCACAGAGCATAAAATGTCAAGGACAGGAGGCCCTAAGAGTAGCCGTCCTGTTCTTGGGTGATACTGCTCAGAAGGGGCTCGCTTTTATTGACCCATAGCTGGGCACTCAGTCTTCCAATACAGGTTCATTCTGCCATTTTACTGGAAATCAGAGCAGAAGGTCTCCCCACCCCCACCACATCCATATGAGGGGCAACTGGGAGGCTGGGGGGAGGGGGTGAGGGAGGTGGAGGTGGAAGGAGGAGGTGGACTGCCTGGAGGAGGCAGAGCCAAAGCAGGTAGGTGTGTTCAGGGGAGGCTCTGCACTCCCCTCCCTGCCCATGGCCCAGGTGGATGAAGCGGCCCCGCTGTGGGGTGCCGGACCAGTTTGGGGTACGCGTGAAAGCCAATCTGCGGCGGCGGAAGCGCTACGCCCTCACCGGGAAGAAGTGGAACAACCACCACCTGACTTTCAGGTAGGGGCCCAGCTGCCTAGGGAGGCTGAGCCTGAGGCTTCTTTTCTCAGCAGCCCACCCCAGGGTGCCCAGCCCAGATAGCCAGTGGCTCCCATGCTGTTGAGATCAGCAGCATACTCCAGGCAGTCTCCCTCCAGAGAAGGTCGGGACCTTCTGAGCTGCTTCCGCTCTGTCCTTCTCTGCTCCCACCACCCTGGCCCAGATGGGCTCCTGTACCACTGCAAACCGTGGTGAAGGGCACAGGAGGGCCAGGGTTTGGGAATCTAGGCATCTGTCAAGTAGGAGGGCAGCAAGTCATCCACAAAAACCCTGGTTTGGGTACCCTATCTTTCTTCTGAGTCCTTGAGCAGAGAACACCCCTGAGCCGAGTGTGCTTTGAGCCATATGGCAGTCCCCAAGGGCCTCCCTTCCTGTTCCTGTCCCCACAGCCCCACCTAGAGCTCCATCTCCAGAGAAAAGCAGCTCCCGTGGTCACTTAGACCTCAGGCCCCCACAGTGTGTTCATGGTCCAACCAGCAAGAACGCTGCCTTCACATTTGATGGAAGTGTGTCCAGCACACAGAAGCTTAATCTGATCTATGTGGATAATAGCAGGCCTCATGACACTTTATCACATGCAGCCTCTGGGCCATGTGTTCTTCATGAGTTATTTCATTTAATCCTCACAGGGGCCCCACGAAGTACTACCCCTCTTACCCATTTTATAGATGAAGAAACTGAAATTCAGAGAGACTAACATCACGCAGATAATGTTAGAGCCAGGCCTTAAACTCAAGTCTGCCTGACCCTGGAGCTCAACGTTCAAAATTGAATTGGCCTGGGCCGGCCTGTGGCTCACTCGGTAGAGTGCGGTGCTGATAACACCAAGGCCACGGGTTCGGATCTCATATAGGGATGGCCGGTTCGCTCACTGGCTGAGCGTGGTGCTGACAACACCAAGTCAAGGGTTAAGATCCCCTTACCGGTCATCTTTTAAAAAAAAAAAATTGAATTGGCCTGTGTTTCCCAAACCTCACATTTGCACCCCTTTTTTCTTTCCCCCAGTCACACAGCACCTGCACTTTTATTTACTTAATGTCTTTCTTACTTAAAATCAGCTTATCTGCCACAGTGCAACCTTATTTAGCAATATCTTAATGAGCTCCCAGGTTTGGCAAGTTCAAACTCTAGCACACATCAAAGTAAACTACCAGTTGACGTTGATGGGCATGTCTGTGCGCCACCTCAGATCTTATGTGCATTCCTTGGGAACACACAAGCAATGGACAGTAGCCCCCTAGCCCCACATCCACTCACATGTCTCCCTGCCCACCTGCAGCATCCAGAACTACACGGAGAAGCTGGGCTGGTACCACTCGCTGGAGGCGGTGCGCCGAGCCTTCCGCGTGTGGGAGCAGGCCACGCCCCTGGCCTTCGAGGAGGTGCCCTACGAGGACATTCGGCTGCGGCGGCAGAAGGAGGCTGACATCATGGTACTCTTTGCCTCTGGCTTCCACGGCGACAGCTCGCCATTTGACGGCACGGGTGGCTTTCTGGCCCACGCCTATTTCCCCGGCCCTGGCTTGGGTGGGGACACCCATTTCGACGCAGATGAGCCCTGGACCTTCTCCAGCACTGACCTGCAGGGTGAGAACAGGTGGCCAGGGTAGCAGGGCAAGCAGAGCCGGAGCGGGACATGGCCTGCTCTGAGCAGATTCAGCAGCTGCAGGGTCGGGAGGGGAGAGTTCCCCTGTGCAGGTTTCCAGGGGACCAGTACTTGCTCCCAGTCTGTTGTCCCATCATCTCCAAGGGGAGGTAGGAAGGGAAGGGATCGTTGTATGCATTTCTCAGATTGGGACATTGGAGGCCAGAAGACAGAGCAGCTCAGCCTTTTCCAAGAGTGAAGCAAGGCAGACTCTCTGGCACCCCAGAGGGCCCAGGGTGGCCAGGTCCTGGGACACCAAAGCTGACAGCTGTTCTCCTCCATTGCAGGGAACAGCCTCTTCTTGGTGGCAGTGCATGAGCTGGGCCACGCACTGGGGCTGGAACACTCGAGCAACCCCAGTGCCATCATGGCACCCTTCTACCAGTGGATGGACACTGACAACTTCCAGCTAACTCTCTGGCACCCCAGAGGGCCCAGGGTGGCCAGGTCCTGGGACACCAAAGCTGACAGCTGTTCTCCCCCATTGCAGGGAACAGCCTCTTCTTGGTGGCAGTGCATGAGCTGGGCCACGCACTGGGGCTGGAACACTCCAGCAACCCCAGTGCCATCATGGCACCCTTCTACCAGTGGATGGACACTGACAACTTCCAGCTGCCCGAGGATGACCTCCGGGGCATCCAGCAGCTCTATGGTGAGTGGCTTGTGACCAGTGGACCCTACATGCCTGCTGTCAGCCCCCAGCCCTACAAGGCATAGGTGTTAGTGCTGTCCCCATTTTGTAGATGGGGAAACTGAGGCCCAGTGACGATTAGTGCCTTGCCCACATCATTCAGTGAGTTAATAATGGTGGTGCCAGAAATAAAACCCAAGGCTGGCCGACTCCAGGACTGAAAGGTGGGGTCCTTGAAGGGACACAGGTGGCCCCAGGGCCTCTTATGACCTTCCTTTCCTCCTCAGCCTCAGCAGTATTTCTATGAGACCAAGGGTGCCCCAGTGGTCCCAGGACCCATCTCCTCCCCTGTTGCTCCCAGCTGAGGCTGTCGAAGGCTCTCCCTTGAGTGTTGCTGGTTTATCACTTCCCAGTGGCTTTGGGGCAGGTCCACCCCCCCCCCGGCCCCACCCAAGAAAGCCTCCAGTGATGAGGTCCCCTGAGGGCCAGTTTGGCGTGTCAGGGCCCTGTGCTCTGTGCCCACCTCAAGCCTCCTCAGGACTGGCAGCGCCTGCCTTGCTGGGCACTTGACAAACGCCACTAGCTGCATTCTAATCTTCTCAGTAATGAGATGGGCACTCGGCGGAGCTCAAGATGTCTGATGCCAGAGCCAGAGCCATCTCTCACCCCTGCAGGTGTCCTCTTCTTCCTAGAGCCTCTGCTGGGTCAGGCTGGCATCCTGAGGGGAATGGCCCCATGGGGAAGTAGAGCCGGGCAGCCTCAGGGGTGCAGGACCCAAGCCCAGTGTGAGGAGGTCCAGGAGGGGGCTGTATGGAGGAGGATGAAGGTCCTCCTGAGGATGATGGCAGGTGTGAGGGAGGGCTCTGCTGTGGACAGAATGGACCTTTCACCTGGGTGGGCCTGCTCTGGGACACAGGTCTCTCCAGGCTGGGGCTATGGGGTCCCAGGGTTCTAAGTAGGAGAACCTTGCATCCTGGCTGGGTTCTGGGGCTGCCCCTCACTTCCTGTTCCCCGCCTCTCTCTGCAGGCACCCCAGATGGTCAGCCACACCCCACCCGGCCTCTTCCCACTTTGACGCCCCGGCGTCCAGGCCGGCCAGACCACCGGCCCCCCCGACCCCCCCAGCCACCACCCCCAGGCAGGAAGCCAGAGCGGCCCCCAAAGCCGGGCCCCCCAGCCCAGCCCCGAGCCACAGAGCGGCCTGACCAGTATGGCCCCAACATCTGTGACGGGGACTTTGACACAGTGGCCATGCTTCGTGGGGAGATGTTCGTGTTCAAGGTCTGGCCCCACCTTCCCTGTGCCTCCCCGAGCCCCTTGTCCCAGGCTCACAGCAGAGAGCTCCCAACTTTCCCAGAGCCTGGCCCTGCCTGGCTGCTCGGGCACCCCAACTCCTCCCTCACTAAGCAGCCCCTGGGATCCATCAATCCTAGACCCCAGAACTTGAAGAAACCCTAGACCCCAGCCAGAGAGGATGAGGCACTTGTCCAGGGTCACACAGCAAGCCCAGGTGCTGCTTCCCAGCCCAGAGCTCTCTCCTTGGTGCTGTCCTGGCTTTCCAAGTACTGCCCCCTTAGTATCTCAGTGACCTCCCCCTGGACACCTGGGAGGGGGCAGCTGGAGGACAGGGCTACTCCCAGCCAAGGGAGCACACATGCGCTGCCCTCTCATGCCCATGCCCCTCCCCAGGGCCGCTGGTTCTGGCGAGTCCGGCACAACCGTGTCCTGGACAACTATCCCATGCCCATCGGGCACTTCTGGCGTGGACTGCCTGGTGACATCAGTGCTGCCTATGAGCGTCAGGATGGTCGTTTTGTCTTTTTCAAAGGTGAGCTGGGGTATGTGGGAAGTGGGGGGCTGGGCAGTCTTCCTTCCCTGACCTCTGACCTGTCTGGGTGAGGGAAGAGGAGAGGTGAAGGGCTGCATTGCGTGTCTGGTCCGGTGCCCCCACTGTGGACTCACTCTGGGAGGATGGGGACATCTCAGGGGACAAGTGCATGTGGCAGCTAGGCAAGAGTGGGGAAGTAGAGAAAGGCTGGGGGCTGGATAGACCTGGGACACTGGAGGCCAGAGGCTGCTCTGATTGGGGCAAGCATTGGCCCATCTCCTGCAGCACAGGGGCTCAGCTTATTTCCCTCCATCCTTGCCTCTTGTGCCTCCTGCAGCCCCCTCCTCGTAAGAACCGCCCCCCCCCCCCACTCTGGGGCAGCATTTCTGTGTTCTGTCTGCAGAGACAAAGGCCTTGAGGGACAGCACCCCCTGATGCATGGGCTGTGTCTCCAGCCCCATTGGCCTGAGCCTCAACGAGGACAGGGCTGGGCCCACACTATAAGCTGGGAGCCCTGGGCCATGCACTGTGAGGGACACAGCCCCCAGAACCAGAGGCCAGGGAGGGCTTCCCCCTCCTCTGTATGAGAATTGTATGTGTGGGGGGTGTGTTCACATGGGAATGAAAGCCCATATATTGTGTGTGCAGTGTGTACAGGTGTGAGCAGGTGACTTGTGCATGTGGAAACAAGTGTGTCGCGGGTGTTTGTGCGTGCTGAGTATGTGATGTGTGGATGAGTTGCATCGTGTATTGTTGTGTGCGAATGCCTGCCATGTGTGTAGGGCAGGAGTGTGATTTTATGGGTGTGTGTGTTGGGGGGATGGATTTGTGAACCCAAAATAGCATTCCCTGTGCCCTCCACCTGCACACACCCCTCCGCCCAGCCTGTGCTCACACTGCCTCCCACTCCTCCTGCAGGTGACCGATACTGGCTCTTCCGAGAAGCAAACCTAGAGCCTGGCTACCCACAACCGCTGACCAGCTATGGCCTGGGCATCCCCTATGACCGCATCGACACGGCCATCTGGTGGGAGCCCACGGGGCACACCTTCTTCTTCCAAGAGGACAGGTGAGCAGTACGCCCCCTCCCCTAAAGGGAGAAGACCCCAGCCAGGCCCTCTTACCCTCAGGCCTACCCAAAAAGAGCCCACTGCCTCTGGGGAATGGCCCCAGCCCAAGCAGGGGTCTCTAGGTTCACAGCCTGGTGCTTTTGGTCACAGGTACTGGCGCTTCAATGAGGAGACACAGCGCGGAGACCCTGGCTACCCCAAGCCCATCAGCATCTGGCAGGGAATCCCTGCCTCCCCCAAGGGGGCCTTTCTGAGCAACGATGCAGGTACCAGGCCAGCTCTTCCCAGTTTGCCCAGCACTTATCATACCCCCTGCTACATACATGGGACAGGGCTTGCCTGGGTTCACCCAACCTTGCAATGACGTGTGTGGAGAACACAGCTGTGTCACACCCTGGGCTGGGGGCTTCGCCAGCATGACCTCCTGGTCCTCCCTGAGTCTTTACTATCCCTTTCATAAACAGGTGAACTAATAAACCAGACAACTTTAGCAAAGTGCCCCAAATCCCACAGCTAGTGAGCTGTGGAGTCAGCATTCCAATCCAGGCCTGCTGGTGCTCAGAGCTGCCCTGCTGCCTGCTGAGTCCAGCCGCCCCCCAGGCAGCCCTCAGGGACCCCTGAGCCTGGGGGGTGGGCTTGGTTCAGAGTGTTTGGGGGCAGGGGTCCTCCCAGGGCATCACTTACCCACCTGGAAGGGAAGCCTCATCTCTCCATCATTAAAACCAAGCAACAGGGAGCTGCAGCTCTTTTATTTCTCCAACAGGGTTTCTGGTGGGTTTAAGGAAAACCACTAGCCCTGGTTCTCAGGTTCAGGGTTCCCAGGCTCAGGGGAGACCTTGCTTACTTTGCTGATGCTCAGGCTGATCACTTGGTTTCTGTGAGGATGTCACTGTGCGGATGCTGTGATCCCACTGTGCTCAGCAGAGCACAGACTCACCCCTTAGTTCAAATGTGGCCCTTCCCAGTGTTGATAGGATGCAGGCAAGGTGCCCAAGGCCAGAGAGCCATTCCAAGATGGCAACAGGTTCTGCTCAAGGTCCACTGCAGGTTGGCTGTGTGGCCTTAAGCAAGACACTGACCTGTCTGGTGTGGGCAAAGCCAATCCCGGGATGGAGCAGCAGGGTTCCTTGACTGCAGCCCCCAACCCAGCAGACTGTAGGACCCTGCTGTACCCCATCCCAGTCAATGTCAGCCTGGTGAGGAAGCCTGGGATTCTAGTGGTGCCCGTGGCCCCAATCCCCTCTGAGCCTCAGTCTGGCTCTTGCAAGTTGGAAAGGGGAAGATTGGAAGACGCTCAGGTAAGCAAATGAGAAGGAGGGCAATTTAAAAACAGGAACCCTTCAGCATGTCCGGGTCCTCTTCAAGGGTTTCTGGTTTGTGGTTGGTGGTAGGACCCAGCCTGAAGCCATTGTGGCCTGCTTGCCCCTGCAGCCTACACCTACTTCTACAAGGGCACCAAATACTGGAAATTCGACAACGAGCGCCTGCGGATGGAGCCCGGCTACCCAAAGTCCATCCTGCGGGACTTCATGGGCTGCCAAGAGCACGTGGAGGCGGGACCCCGATGGCCTGACTTGGCCCGTCCGCCCTTCAACCCTGATGGGGGTGCAGAGCCTGGGACAGATGGAGACCAGGCAGAGGGCGATGTGGGCGACAGGGAGGGGGACTTCGGGACTGGGGCAGACAGGGACAGGGACGGGGGCAGCCGTGTGGTGGTGCAGATGGAGGAGGTGGCACGGCCAGTGAACGTGGTGATGGTTGGGACAGATGGAGACCAGGCAGAGGGCGATGTGGGCGACAGGGAGGGGGACTTCGGGACTGGGGCAGACAGGGACAGGGATGGGGGCAGCCGTGTGGTGGTGCAGATGGAGGAGGTGGCACGGCCAGTGAACGTGGTGATGGTGCTGGTGCCGCTGCTGCTGCTGCTGTGCGTCCTGGGCCTGGCCTACGCCCTGGTGCAGATGCAGCGCAAGGGTGCACCCCGCATGCTGCTGTACTGCAAGCGCTCACTGCAGGAGTGGGTCTGACCCCACCCAGCCCCCCTGCTCCTCACGGTGCTCAGGGGGCCGGGACACAGCACTGTGCTTCTGAGATGGCTCCTCGGGGTACCCTGGCAAGAGCATCTGGAGGCTCCCTCAGCCCCTGCGTGGGGGTCCCTCCCGGCCTCAAACATACCTTGTCTGTCCTGCCCTCCTTGTTTATTTATGCCCAGGTATCTTTCAGGTATCTCTTTTTTTTTTTTTTTTGGCACCTTAATTGAACATTTGTTTCTGCTTTCCTGACCAGGGCAGGGTGTTTAGAGTTTTCTAAATGTAGTTCTGCTCCAGACAGGGAATTAGGCTCCTGTCTACCTCTGGCTTGGCCACAGCCAGGGGAGCAGGGGGACAAAAGCCCACATTGGAAGAGTTGTCAAAGGGCCATTGAGGTTCATCCAGCCCTGGCCCTTCTTTCCCCTGAGCCCCAGGGCCTTACTGTGGGCTGTTTGCAGGACCTCCACCCTCCTAAGTCTCTCTTTGCCTTAGGAAGAGCTTATCACCCTGGGGCAGCCAAGGCTGGAGGGCCAGGGAGGAGAGCTGGCCCATTGGCCTCTGAGTCCATGTGAAGCTTGGTTCCTTCACAACCCACTGAGCAGCTCCGGCACCCCTGGCTCCTTGTGCCTAAGAACCCCACCCCACTCTTGGCCAGCCAGCAGCTCCCAGCTCCCTCCTACCCCTTGGGCCCACCCTTCCTTCCCTGCCTGGAGAAGGGGCTCTGGGCCTGCCTTACCAAGGACCAAAGGGAGTCAGCTGAGGCTCCTCCCTCAAGGGAAGCACTGGCCGAGACTTCCCTTCTCTGAGCTCTGGCCCACCTGCTCCTTCCCTCGGCCTCTCCCTTCCTCTCCCTCTCACACCACCTTTCGTGGGGGTCTCGGAGTTCCAGCAGCCTTAGGTTTCAGCTGCCACCATCCCCATCCTTGGGGAGAGAAGGGGCTGGTTGGAGCCCAGGCTGGGGCAGTGGATGTCCACAGACCTGGGTCCACCTGTGTGGATGTCCACAGTGCCACGCACCAGGCTTGGGTGTTTCCTCCCCTCCAGCTCCCTGTCCCCCCAGGAGGAGAGACACTGGTGGGACAGGCCAGCAACTTATCCCCCCACCTGGACTGTGGAACCCCCGAAGGAGCCCATTGTGGCTGTGGAGGCTCCCCTCCTCCTGGGCTCAGCCTGAGGGCGGAGATGCTTCCTTCCTCTCTTCCTTCCCAAAGTAAGCAGGAGGCTGAGGCTGTTGTGGGAAATGGTACTGTACAGCTGGCTCTATCCCCTCTGTGTCCCTGAAGCCCTGAGCAAGTGGGGTCTGCCACCCAAGATCCCCAAGGCCCCTGGGGTGTGGGGGTGGGTTCTGCCGGCCTCTCCAAGTGGCAGCTTCTCATGGGCTGGCACCAAGTGCGGGTCCAGAAGCTCAAACATCCCACCTCCCCCCATGCCACCTCTGTGGAACTGGAGAGCCAGCCGAGGGGTGGGGGTTGGGGTTCCAGTGTCCACCTCCCTATATCATTTCTGTAAATAGTCTGCACTGATTAAATTGTACAGCCAGCGAGTGTGGCCTCGTTTGTAAGAGGCTTTGAGCTGGAGCTTACAGCTGTGAGAGCCTGTAGGTGGCAGGGGTCGAGTCCCAACTAGGATTAGGGGACTTGCCCTCAACGCCAAGGAGACCTTGCTCCCAGTGCTGTGGAGGCTCCTTCCCAAAGGCCTTTGGAAACAAGGCCCTGGGAGGGGCAGAGCTTGGGGAAGGGCAGGAGGTGGCTGCCCTCGACAGACTAGAGAAGGGAGAGGCAGGGGCCCTGGGGGTAGCCCGCTGGGGTGGGGCAGGAAAGGAGTGCAGAATTTGTTTCCCATTCATTGGTGATGAGAAAGGACAACCGGCTTCACACATGACCTCCATGTCTAGGAGGAGTAGGAAGAAGCAGGCCAGACCACCCAGCCCTCCCACCAACCCAGACTGAGTTCTGGGCAGCCTGAAGACCCATTCTGGTCAGGAGCCCAGAGAGGGATGAGAAACAGTGCCACGTGGGTTCCAAAATTTTCCTTGCCACACTCCCTGCTCAGAGGGTGAGGGGGCACCCAAGACTTGGCCTCTCATTTTTGAAGAAGCAGAAAATCCCACCCCAGGCCTCCACAAGGTACAGCTGATGCCTCAGGAAAGCAGGAGACTGAGGCACTGCTGTCACTTGGATCTGGGTGTGGCTGGTGAGCCGGGAGGTCTGCCTTAGACCCCATGTCCATGATCTCAGCCAGGCCTATCAGGTACTAGCCTGGGCCCCCAGGAGTGCAATGATCAGCCGTAGTAGGGGTCCCACCCCCATCATGGAGCAGGCCAGGCCTCCACAAGTCTTAGAGCAGAGGCCCTCAACCTGTTCTAGGCCCCACCTCTCCTCAGCCCCCCTGGATCCCACCCCTTCCTCTCTTTGTGTTGAAACTGGCTGGGGAGAGTAGGAAGTGCTAAAGGCCTAAAGGCCTCCCAGGCTCATCTAGGAAACAGCTCATGAGCTGCCCCCACCACAGGGCGTTGGGGGTCAGCATGAGGGTCCAGGGCTGGTGCCATCTTGCCAGCTTTCCTGTTGCAGAAGCCACAGAGCCCCACCCAGCTCTGCTGCCTGAAGCCCAAGGGTCATCCAGAAGCCCAGAGGTCAACAGGCAGGTGGAGGGCAGTTTGAGGTCCCAGGGATGAGAAAGGAGAAGATGAAAAGCCCCTCCTCCAGCTCGTCCTCAGAGCCAAGGCCAGAGGAGAGACTTGGCAGAAGCCCCAGCTCCTCAGGAAACTGCCCGAGGAGCCTTTCACCCCCAAGCTGTATCCTAGAATCTCAGAGAAACCCAGTGGCTAAGGCACAGCCCATCACAAGAGCCCTCTCTATCCTCACTCAGGGGCTGTGGGGCTCCAGTAGGGTACCAGGGCGTGTGGAGATCTCTGAGCAGGGGTGGAGGGAGCAGTTGGGCTCTCTCCTGCATGCGCAGAGAGCCCAGGCCTGCCCGGGGCCTTCACACCCGCCCCTCCCTAGGGTCAAACAGGAGCCTGCATCTTTAAATGTGTGTTTTGTTTTGTTTTGTTTTGTTTATGTGACTGTAACCTAAATTCACCTTGGGCCCCTCACCACCCCCATTCCCTCAGCATCTTTTTTCCCTTTATATTTTGCTAATTCCCAAGTAAGAAAATGAAGACACTAAACATAAACAAAAAGAAGAATATGTGTCGCCATAATTCCCCCAGCCAATGTTAACAGTTTGGCCTCTTTCCTTCCAGCCTTTTTTCTCTTCATCAGCACCGCTTGGAGTTTTAGAGTCTAAGACACTCCAGGCTTGAGCCCTGATGCTGCCAGCACTTAAGTCTCAATGGAGGAGCTCATGCTACCTAACTCACAGGCTGTGACGCATAGAGGCTGATGGCTGTACGGGGCTGGTGACAGTGTCTGGCTCCTGCAAGTGCTCCCCACTTACGTTTTACTCAGGAAAAAAGTGGGGCCCAGAAAGGTAAAGTGACTTGGCCAAAGTCACACAGCTAGGAAATGGCCATGCTAGGATTAGGACCCAGGCACAGCAGCCCAGCCCCACCCCACTTTGGTGCTACTGGAAAATCGGGACAGGGACAAGGAGGCCCCTGCCCACCCGGCCTTCTTTCCCTACACATTCTATGTATTGGAGACCCCAGGGCCACCAACAGAGCCTTCTTTCAGGCCAGGGTGGGGGCTGAGCTGGCTGCTTCCTCCCCCTCGACTTGGCAGAAAAGGCTTTTTGTTGTGGCTCACACAGAGGCCATTCTCCTCCGGCTCACGGGAAGGAATGGCCGGCTTCCTGTCCATCCACAGCCGCCCGGCCGCAGTGGGATCCTCCGTGCAGGTCCAAGAGAAGCGGGGCTTCCTGCCCCTCCACGTCCTCCAGGCCTGCCTCAGGGGTCCTAGGCTGCCAGGCTTTGCCCCCATCTTCCCAATCCAAGACACCCACTCAAGGGGTTAGGGGGATGGCCACCCTTGGCTACCCCTGCAAGTACTGGGGGCTGGGCCTCAAGGCACTTGCAGGGACAGCAGTGCCACCCTCAGCCTACTGCTCAAGTGGCCTCATGACCCACAAAGTGTTGGCAGATGCCCCTGCAGGGCTGCTCGCCCTGTCTCAGATGTCCCCTGCGCTTGCCTGCCTCTCTGCCTTTGCTTATGCTGTTTCCTCCTCCTAGAAAACCCTTCCATGCACATTTCCTGTGTCCAAATTGCACAGCTCCTTCAAGGCCCAGATTACAGCTTGCCATTTCCAGGTTCCCGCCCTCCCTCCTCACAGTGGTTGTTTCCTTCCACCCTTTGGTCACCCAGCACTTGTGTCTTGATCATTCCTCAGCCCTGAGCCCAGGCTGCCCTTTGTTACAGGCACCAGAGCTCCAATGGTCACAGGCTGTGCGTCCTCAGGCAAGTCAGTTCACCTATCTGGGCTCAGATTCCCAATCTGAAGAATGGGGCTAATAGCCATGCCTACTTCATACAGTTGTGAGGCTTGATTGAGCTGATACTTATAAACACTTGTGGGATGCTCTTAATAGTTAATTACTAATATCCCTATTTTAAGTGCTGATACTTGGTGGGCATGGGGGCCGTGTCTTTTTCCTTGCTTCCTCTCTGTGAGTGTTTGTGGGGTGGAGCCAAAGGTCGACAAGCTTGAAGACAGGTGCCTGGGAGGAGGGACACTCCTGTTCCACCAGTCCCCTTCCAGCTGCTAAGGTCTTGCCCAGCCCAACCCTGGATGGGGCTGCCCTGCCCCAATCTCCCCTCACCTGCGCACACTAGCCCTTCTTCCCAGACCCCGGGCTCCAGGCCCCAGGCTGTTTTCCTCTCTAAGGGCCCCTGACACCTCCCACCCCCACATTTTTTACCCACCTCAGTCTTTGTGAGAAATAGCCCCCAAACTCCCCTTCACTTACAGCCAAGCTAACAGGCCCCTCCTGGACAAACAATACCATTTCCCTCCCAGCACGGATCGCAGCACAGTTTCTTCATGGGATAAACTGGATTCCGTGAAGAAATCACTCTCAGTCAGGGGAAAGAGAGGGGCGGCTGTACCCCAACAATTTCATCTCCCCCAAAAGAATACTCAGCACAATGTTAAACCCTGTAGACTCCAGTCAAATCAACCTCTCTTTACAGATGGGGATACTGAGTCCTGGAGGGGGGTGATTTGACTGCTCACTGAGTCTTTGAACTCTGTCTTCTGATCCCCAGGCAGGATCTCCTCCATGCTCCTATGTCGTACCCCTCACTCCCCACCCGTACATAGAGCTTCTCTCCTCTCTTTGGAAGAGCTGAGGGCGGGGTGCTGTGATTAATCCAGCCTTCCTGATAAAGGGCAGTTCTGTGCTTCATGGAGCAGTTTTCAAGCCAGCTGTTAGAGAGTTCTGCTTGGCAGACACTTCCCTTGCTAATAGGCACCCCTCCCCTCCCCCTCCGTCTTGTAAGAACAAACCCTCCTTCCCTCCCTGGGATTCTGGTAGAGCTGACCATTCCACCCCCCACCCCCACTCCCCTTGGTGGCTGGATGGGCTTGTGACCCAGGACCAGCCAATCAGCACCCCAGTGTATGGTTCAGGGATGGGCAGGAAACCCAATCAGCTCTGTGACTTTTTCTGGAGCCCATAGGTTATCTTGCCACCACACAGAGGGAGCCTGCCTCACAGCAAGGCCAACACACATGAAAATAGAACCTTGAAGAGATGAAGAGATTCTGGAAGGCATTGTTTGAGTACCCAGATCCAGCCATGCCTGAAGCTTGGGGGCAGTAGGTTTTCCAATTATATGTACCCATAAACTCCCTTCATTTCTTAAACCAGTGTGAATTGCTGTTGGGTTTGGGGTTCGTCTTGTGTTTATATTTTTGTCATGACTGATGTCCTAGGGTTGAGTTCTAAACTTGTACCTAGCTTAATGCATTCTTGTTGGCCATCAAGGACTCCTCGGGATCTCGCCAAACCTCAGGACCCCAAGGCGCCCATCTACTCAACCCTCAAATGTTTACTGAGAAGCAGGGCTCACTCTGGGGTCCCTGGCCCAACCCCCAGCCTCGATAATGCTGCCTAAGACAGCAGAGGACACCTGGGTCTTTACAAGAAGGCAAGGGGCACCGAGTTAGCTGTTACATGGGCTTTTTCAGATAGCACCAAGTGACGCATGGTCAGCCATCGTAGACAATAAGGAAACCACAGAAAAGCTAAAAAGACTATGAAAAATGCCAGCAATCTCTACTCTCCCACCAAACATTCCTGACATTTTAACATAAATCCTCCAGGCTTTTCCTTATGAATATATATTAATATATTTTATTTTTAAAAAGTGAGTTTAGGGCCGGCCCGTGGCTCACTCGGGAGAGTGTGGTGCTGATAACACCAAGGCCACGGGTTCGGATCCCTATATAGGGATGGCTGGTTGCTCACTGGCTGAGCGTGGTGCTGACAACACCACGTCAAGGGTTAAGATCCCCTTACCGGTCATCTTTTAAAAAAAAAAAAAAAAAAAGTGAGTTTATAGTAGGCATTTTTCTTTCTTTTTTTGCCTGCCTTTTTCACTTAAT